GGTTTTGGGGTATATTATGCTATAATGAGAATAAGGAGCCCCCAAATAGTATAGGTAATTATTAAGGCCCTTATAGTAGACCAAGCTCCGCTGTTGTTAGGATTTGAATTTGGGAGCCCCGGCGGATGTTCCGTAAACAAATGCCAAGTTCAATGATAAGAAAGACGCTCTCGGGAGTGTCCGGACGAAAACGAAGAAGTATCTTTTTAATACTTTGATAAAAGAATTTGTCAGTCTCACGACTGTCCTGCTTCATTATTCCAAGCTGCTATTGCCATATATGCTGTTTACACGAGGTTCCAGGTAAGTTGTGCTGTCTCGTCTCACCGGTTGGCACTTGTGACTTGGCGCTTTCTTCTCGGACTAGCCTCCTGCTGCAGCTACTGCAGTGTCGGCTTCTTCTACGTCTAGCCTCCAGCCACTGCAGTTGCGATTATGACGACTACTAGTTCAATCGCCGTAACGACGACGACACGACGATCACCACTGAAACTCTTCAAGCTACTTCTGTATTATTGGTGTCGTTGGTGCTGCACTATAAGAACAGACTTCATGTTCATGACCGCCAATCTATCTTCGTGATTTTAATCGTTTCTTGAGGCTGAACCTGGTCACAATACTAGCCAGTACAAGAGACTCAGGGATGCAGACTGTCTCGAAGTCGGTGCTTGCCTCATAACTTCTATGATCTCTTGACTCAGCGTTGCGTGACCAGAACCACCAACAGCAGCCCTCACAAGCATCCGGAATGTTCCACACCTGAGCGTGAGAGAACAAACCTTGCAGAACCTTGTACTACCCACCCATAGACCCTAAACCCGAAACCCTAAACCGACTGAAACCTTCACCTGAGGAGTCAGCAAAAAAACCTCAAAAGCATCTCAGGATCTCATGAGGATCTCAGAATGGCTCAAGGCGCCTTCATAACTAGAGTTGGTTTGGGGTTTAATTAGCGATGCATTAGGGTTTTGGGGTTCTTATACTACATAAGCATCTGCAAAACCCTTTTTACAGCAGTTCTTATACTACAATAGTATCCCTATGGAACCGTGTCAAAGTTATTCAGGTGCCCAGATTAGGTGTGGCTACGTTCGAACCCTGCAGCCCCAAATGCTTTGAGCGTCCCGCATAGGCGGCGAGGCAAGCCATGACATCGGAATGGCTGAGCTTGACATCGCCGCCGGCCTAATTAGCGTTCCCAGATGATGCGAGGAGCACAAACAGAAGGTGTGAGGAATTCGCGATTTGTGCGTCTTGCATAGGATTCAGGGCCCAGGGTTTGGGTCGGAGTTACGAGAAACTGCTCTGCCAAGGGTCGTTATACTCAGGGACTGGGGTTAAAAATGCAGGGGCCTGAAAAGTTGAAAGAGGGATGTTCTGATGCTTAGACTATTCCGGACCCCCTTGCAGGGACCCTTTTTTTTATGAGGGTGCCGTTAGACCTTGCGGACCCAAAGAAGGACCCTAACTAATTGAAAGAACCATCCATATCAAAAAGGACCCTAAACTTTGAACCCTAAACCCTAGAAAACCTTCACCCTGAACCCTAAAGCCCTAAAACACCCTAAACCCATCTTCGCACGCCCATATCAACACCAGGAAAGTTTCACGGGCCCTTCGGCCCCCACATCCGGGTCCCCTTCAGGGCCTTAAAACCCACGCAGTCACATGGGGAAGTCCCTCAGTAAGTAAGTGTTTTCTGTTTTTGAGGGCCTTAGCAAGTAGGTTGAGGGCCTTAGTAAGTAGGTGTTTTTGTTTATGGGGGCCTTAGTATATAGTTTTTTTTCTTGAGGGCCTTAGTAAGTAGGTGTTTTTTGTGTTTGAGGGCCTTTTGGGTGTCTGCCGCGACGCGTCTTCCAAGCCCGTGTTGGGCAGGCAACTTGGCCAGACATGGTCCCGCAAATCTTTACAGAAGCAGTAAGTAGGGTTTAGGGTTTAGGTTGTAAGTGACACAATCATAGTATGCCTACTTTTTGGCCGAGTTAAGGTACCCATAACTCGTGACCCTACTTGCTAAGTCTCTTGAACCTCCGAGTATCCTTACCGGAAGCACCAAACCCTCAAGGCAAACCCTGAAACCCAAACCAAACGGTGTGAAATGCTAATGGAAAGGCCTTAATACTTAGAATAGGGTTTTGGGGTCCATGATACCATAATTATAATAAGGCACCCCCAAAAATAGTATTGGTAACCATTTAGGCTTCTATAGTATGAATCTGCTAAACGGACCGAGAACGCAAACGTCGACTTGCTCTCCGGCAGGACACAAGCCCTGAAACTCAAGTAAGTCTGCTACTGTGATATGGGGAATCCCGACTTTTACTTATATGGGGACCTGGTCTGGCTAAGGGGATAGTAGTACTAAGCTCTAAACCCTCAATCCCAAGCCCCCTAAACCCTAAACCCGAAATCCAACCAACGACTTCAAAGGCCTGCAGGTGGGCCGTCAGCGTGGAAGCAAAGGATCCGAGCAGTCGGGCATCCCTCACGCGGGCCTCGGTGCTTTTCTTTAACGCGGGAGGGCTCTCGTCAAAATGTGTTGGTTCTATTGAACCGGGGTTGTGGGCTTGCAGGGGGTCTTTCTGGTTTAGGGTTTAAGTCATTCGGGTTGAATTTAAGGCTTCTGGGCCCAGCGGGGCTATCTTTGCGGCCCTTCCCATGTCTTATGTGGTTGTATGCAGCCGTCTTTCAAGGAGCATCCGGATAGGTTCATGAGCTTGGTCTAGGTCCCTTGCTGAAGGTGGTCGCACCGGGGCACTTGCAGAGGGTGAATTGGTTGAACTGACTGTATACGCACATTTTTGAGAATGAAATGACAAGGACAACGTGACTGAGTATGCAGGTGGCCATATCCGGGAGATAGGCTTGAATGCTCGTAGAGTACGTAGCCACAGACTCCAATATCACACGATTCAACACAAAACCAGCATGAAAAGTACGGTAGCTCAAAAACGAACTCTGACCTGAAGGGTAACCTCTTGTTCAGGGCGCAGGGTTCGCAGCTAATCGGGCTTCCTGTACTCGAACTTGCAGAACTCTAGCCTGAACCTGATGCATTTTGTTATCATAGCATAAGCAAACGTCTATTAACATGATGGGCCGCATGGATCTGTTTCCGCTGAGTCCTGTTTCTGCATGTGTCATTTCTTCGTCTGACTGCCGACACCCTCACTGCTCTTTGACCCTGCTGCTGCCTGGGCTCAGCCTCAGCCCCAACAAAGGGGACCGCAACCATATAAGCCTTATCCCAAATCCCATAGCCTATACACTAAACACAAAACCCTAAATCTCAAAAACCCTAAACCCTTCAACCTGATAGCCCTCGCCCAAAACTCTAGAACCTTTCAGCCCCTCAGCTTTTATGCTGCTGTTCTGCTGCCAGGGGCCTTGGCACAGCTCACCGCCAAGGAAGCCGCCTGAAAATGAGTCCGGGGTCGGGGTTTAGGGTTTAGGGTTTAGGGTTGAGGGTTTAGGGTTGAGGGTTTAGGGTTGAGGGTTTAGGGTTTAGGGTTAACTAGACCCTCAAGCCCTAAACCGCATTAAACTCCAAACCCCTGAACCCTAAATCCTAAACGCCTAAACCCATAAAACCCTCAACCCCTGAACCCTAAATCCTAAACTCCTCAGCCCTAAACGCAAATTAAACCCAGACCCCTAAACCCTAATCAATCCCTCAACTCCCAAACCCTAAATAAAACCTAAGCCTCTAAATCCTAAACTCCTAAATCCTAAACTCCCAAAGCCTAAACTCCCAAACCCTAAACCATAAACCCTAAACTCCCAAACCCTGAACCCTAAACCCACACTCCCTAACCCCTGAACCTTTGGGGCCTCTAAGGGCCGTAGGCTCTGCCCCCGGCGGCGGCCGAGCACCGCCGCGAAGTCGCGGACCGCAGCAGATGCCACCTTTTAGGTCTAGGGCCTTAGGGGTTTAGGGTTTAGGGCTTTAGGGGTTCAGGGTTTAGGGTTTAGGGGTTCAGGGTTTAGGGTCTAGGGTTTAGAGTTTTCAAGTTTTGGTTGTGGGTTTTGTGTTTAAGGGTTTGTGCCTCGGGGTTGAGGGTTTAGGTCTGGAGTCGTGGAGGATGTACTCCAGGCCGTTTTCGATTTGGCTTTTGTAGGAGGGGTTGCAGCTTAAGTTCCTTCATTACCTCCCTATACCCTACGCCCTACAAACCCATAAGCCCGAAACCCTAACCCAAAGCCCCTAAGCCCCAACCCCTAAACCCTAAAACCCTAATCCTCCAATCCCCCAGTTCGCCAACCCACCGAAACCCGAAACCTTGCATTTGCAACACACCAAGAAAGCTGAACAAGGAGGCTTCTGGTGTGCCCAGAGACTTCAAAACCCCTTAATTAAGGAACATACCTTAAACTCTAATATGAATCCTAATATGATTTAAGTTATATTCCTTAATTAAGGGGTTTTGGAGGTTCTGGTGTGCTATGTTGAAAAGAGGCGTGCGGCGGCTTGTAGCGTTTGGTAAAGCAGTGACAGTTCCTGCCAGAAAGTAGCTAGTTTTTCATTATGTTTGTAAAACAGACAATGTCCATAGAACTGTGGTGTTTTATCACAGTATTTTTGTAATATTTCTATGGTCATACACTACGCTTCACTACACCCTAAACCCCCAAACTTAAAACCTAAACCCCAACCCCTGAAACCTAAACACTACACTACACCCCTTGCGGCCTGCTGGGCTTCCTTGGCGGTCGGCGCTCCCGCTGCGCGCTGCGCGGCTCGGCGCAGCCGGGCGCAACCGAGCCTCAGAACCGGCACTACCAGTTACGACGACGACGACGACGACGACGACGACTACTACTACTACTACTACAAGTATATATACTACTACTGTACCACTACTACTACTACTACTACTACTACTACTACTACTACTGCTACTGCTACTACTACTACTACTACTACTACTACTACTATCATCTTGTCTTCTTCTTCTACGGCTTCCACTTCTACTTCTATTATGACTACGGCTGCTATATATGGAGTTCTATGAAGTAGGTGTGTATCACTAGTAGCTCCACTAAAAATTAAAAGTTCTCTACACACTGAGCTTCCTGAATCGTCGGGCATGGATCCCAAGGCTTAACTAAAATCTGCATCCGCAGACGCATTCCTCAGTGCTTCGAAAGACCCATTCACCCCCGAACCACATTGGTTTAGGGTTATAAAGGGTGTAAAGCTTAAGGCCGTCGTCCGTAACCCCTTGAAGTAGCTAAATTCTAAACCCCACAGCCCCGTTCTGGTAGGCCTTTTTGCAACCCGGCGGCAGAGCGCTGGCCAAGGTCCTCTCATCCAACGACTTGGCCTGCATCCGAAAGGGCCCAAGAGCCTATCAACTGATTCGGAAGTGCCAAACACCTTACTCCCCCAATAAGCCAGGGAAATAAAAGGTTAAACTTTCAGATTGCTACTAGATTATAAGAACCCAAACAGTTTAAAGGTTGGGTATTGGAGAACTAAGACACTGCTTTGAAGCGCCCCGGGCTTTGTGCCTTGAGCCTCAACATGATGCTTTGGCCTAGGTTCTGCAAGGCTCCGACGGTCGTCGGAGCACCTAGCTTACGTTGCAACCCTGAGCTTTTGGATTTCGTGTGCTGGCCTCAAATATCTTCCTAAGGCCGACATTGCTTGCCCCCATCACCCGAAACTCCCGCACATTCCAACGAGCTGAATCGTATCTTGCCCTATACTGCACTCATAGAACTAGAAAGGGAATACATGGAGATACATGGAGGTGCTCTTGCTCTGACTAAACATTATGACCGGATCTCGACTCCTAAAACAAGGGGCCTAAATAATCACCAATACTAGTGTGGGGGCTCCTTACTAGAGTTATAGTATAATACACCCCAAAACCCTATAATAATTACTAAGGCCCCTACACCCTAAACCCTTATAGTAGCCCTTATAGAACCCTTAAAGGAACCCCAAAACCCTGTTCTAAAAAAAAGGCCCCAATATTAGATTGGCAACATCCCAAACACGAACTTTGAGCCGAAGCCTGCTTCCCTAGGCGCTCCAGCGCCGCAGCGGACAACTGCAGGCCTTCGTTCCGTGTGAGGGCTTTCGAAATGTTCTAAAGGGTTTATAAGGTCTTTAGGGTTTTATAGGGTTTATAAGGTCTCTAGTGGGGATCTTTGGGGTTTATATAAGGTCTTTAGAAGGGTTCTTTAGGGTTTATAAGGTCCTCAGAAAGGTGTTATAGGGTTTATAAGGTCAGGGGCTCAGGCCCAGAATTCCACAGGGCGGCTCTCTCTATCGGCACATTCGGCTTAGCTCATGGGGTTTAGGGTTTAGGGTTTAGGGATGGGTTTGTAGGACATTGCGCTGTGTGTCTTGGCATGTGGGGTTTTAGGGTTTGGGCGTGGCAGTGGGGGGTCCGGGCTTGGTGTTTTCGGGGTACAGGATGTAGACCCTTTAATCCCTAAACTCTGAACCCCCTCCTCCCAAACTCACTTAAGGCCAAGAACCCGGTTTAGGCTCTAAACCCATGCCACCGTACCTTGAATCCTCCATACCGAACCCTGAAGCCCCCTGAGATCCCGACAAGCATCCGAGGAGCCTAAATTCTAGACCCTACACCTTCAATCCTAAATCCTATAGAACCTGAAATCCTAAACCCTAAATACACCCTAAACCTTAAATCCTACAAACCCTAAACCTTCAATCCTAAACCCTAAACCTGAAATCCTGAACGTGAAAATCCTGAACCCTAAACCCTAAACCTGAAATCCTGAACGTGAAAATCCTGAACCCTAAACCCTAAACCTGAAATCCTGAACGTGAAATCCAGAACCCTAAACCCTAAACCTGATATCCTGAACGTGAAATCCTGAACCCTAAACCCTAAACCTGAAATCCTGAACGTGAAAATCCTGAACCCTAAACCC